AAGATTTGAATTAGTTTTCTCTGATTCTGGAGCATATAACCCCACAACAAAGCAAAACTCACAGAGGCCCTGGTCTTGGCTGCCTTAGACCCGGGTTGCCATCAACCTCTCACACTGCAAGGGCTTTGCCGCTGACCATCAAAGGCCACGCTGATGGTGCCCATCCAGCCTTAACAAGGTCCTTCGTCTCCACAGGAATGAAACTTGTGCACACGAAGGCTCCCGTTCCTCCACGGAGAACATTCAGGGCCACTGCCCTTCCAGACCACCAAACAGAACGTCACTGTGCCAGCTGGAGGACGCCCCAGATCGCTTTGCCCATGCGCCAGTGAAATTTTGGTTCATGAGTGAAATTTTGTCTAATTTATTCACTTGACAATGAATGAGTTTCAGTAATTGATGATAAGGTACCTTTTACCGAGCTGTTTGATTTTCATTCCAGCTCTGGATGTGAAGACTTCTCTATCCTCAGCCCCCTAAGGATCACCCTTTCCCTATTTCGGCACTGGCTGGGCCTGCTAGAGTTGTAAGCAGCTAAATGGTGGTTAGCTGGAGTCAGTCCACCTGGGTTCAAGTCGTGGCTCTATCACTTATTAGCTGTGGGATCTAGGGCAGGTTACTTCCCTGCTCTGTGCTTGTTTTCTCATCTTTAAAATGGGGAGAAGATGATGAAGTCTTTCATAGGGTTGTTGTGAAATTTAAAAGACAATATATGCAGAGCGCTTGGTACAGTGCATGCACATGATAAAGACCTAATAAAAGCTAGCTATTAATTTTAATATTATTTTATTAAGACCTTACTTTGCGCCCATTGTAATCATCATCATTATTGTTGAGACTTGCTTTGTGTATAGCACCCAACTGTGCCCCACAGGGAGGGATATAAGTAAACAATTATTTAACACCTTGTAGTTTAAAAAATACTTTCATGGGCATCATCACTTGATATCACCCCAGGATACGGGTATGTTAACCACAGTTTAAAGGAAGTTGAAAGGTCAGTTTATAGCATACGGTCAATTTAACAAAGTGGCATTAAAGTGTAAAACCGTTTTATGTTCACAAGTGACATGAACACGAGGCCTTCCTTACCTCCACCCTCATGCCATCCCTTGGTCTTGTCCACCCCTCAACTTCCCCTCAGAAGACCACAGATGCTACCAAGCACATATCTTCAGACTGCAAAAACCAGTGGAAAGCTGCTTATTTTTAAAGCAGTATCAAAATATCCCCACATCAAAATGTCACATATCCATCCGTTAGCCAAGAGGTGGCCCCTCTGGGTCCTTCTCCTGCATGGGACTGTAGCACTTGGAGTTGGGGAGCTCCCAGGACTGTGAACCCCTGAGGCTGGGAGGGGTGGTCCTAGCTCTCCAAAGCCTATCTATAAAGGATGGCACCGTGCCTGATGTCACTCAGTGTGCAGGGCAGTCAGGCTCACGCCTTGGCCTTCTGGGGGCCTTATTAAGCCAGAGCAGAGAAGAGGCAATCGACATTAACACGGGCTTTCTATTTAGACATTCTAACTGACCTGCAGAAAACCAGAGGGCTGCAGGCTCACAAAGCTTGACCTTGTAATTTACCGTCCATGCAGTCCCAGCGTGTTCAGCGGCATTTTCACTCAGCTGGACGAAAGGAGGAGATGTCTCTGGCTCGTCCTTTTCTCCACCCACATGCCAGACCATCCAACACACTTTAGGGAGGAAGAAGAGGGAAAGGGATAAAGGAGACAAAATCAGGAGGAAAAGCTGAAGGAAACTCCCTAAATGTGTGCTGTGCTGACGTGGAAATAGGATAGAAGAGTGGAAATCTCCAAGAACTGTTGGTCCCTTCCTGCCCTAGAAGATGCATTTCCATGACTGCCCACCAGCCGCCCCCTTTGGCTGTAACTGAACACCACAGTGGTGCCACACTTCAGAGAAAAACACTGCCTGCTTTTTTTTTAAGTTAAACACATCGTAGCCTGTGATTTGTAAGCCACATATGGTCCTGGGAGCTCCAAGAAATAATGATGAAAGAAAATCGTTGAAATCTAGACATAGAAGCTCTGTGAAGCTATATTTTCCCTCAATGACTCTGCAAATTTTATTGGCTACCCTTTATTCACTAAGCCTTGATATATGCCCAGTGTCTTTTATCTAACCCTCACAACAACCTGGTGATGTAGTTCTTACGATTCCCATTTTATAGATGAAGATACTGAGGTTCAGAGAGGTCACACTCCGAAGTCAGTCGTGGAACTGAATTTGAACCCAAGGCAGTCTATTTCAGAGCCTGTGTTTTAACCATTATACTCATTACCACCCAGAGGGAAAAGGGTGAGAGGCAAACTCGTCCCCTTCCCTACCCTCTATTCTTCCAGTGCTTAGTAGAGGCAAAAGTTGAGAAAACGTCCATTCTCATATCTAGCCTGCAGTCTGGATCAATTTTTAAAAATCCAAGTATCATTGAATTATTTCTGAAAACAATCAGATGACTTTTTTTCTAAGAAATAGAATAAGAAAGGTCCTTAGAGGTGCATTTTACAGAAGGGGTGAAACTGAGAAAAAGAGGTTAGGCATGCTTCTCAAGGTCACACTGTTTGGGGGCAGAGCCAAGGCTAAAAATGCAGGGCTCTTGTCTCCTAGGCCAGAGGTTGGCTTGGCCCCAGCAAACCGCTTTGCAAGTTATCACTGCTTCTGTCCCTTACACAGAGCGCTGCTTGAAGAGGGATAACCTCATCTAGTGCACTAGCGATTTTAAACATAACCCAAAGTGAGCCGAACAGTTTTTAAACAAGGTTCTTCTGGGCACCTTCTGAGAAGTTAGTCCTCTGCTTTCCTCTGTCGTCTTCCCACCCCCCAGGTCAAAGTCCTGTGCCCTGTTGAACCAGGAGGCTCCTGGTATTTAGCTGAATAGGGACGTTTCTGTCTGGGGTAGATGGTTATGTCTCTAGTCCAGAACCTGCTATAATTTCCTCTGGCCTCCCACGCTAGTAGCCACTCTTCCGCCTGCCTGGCTGGCTTCTACAGCCCTCTGCAATCTGGAGCTACTCCACCCAGTTCATCTCTTTCTTCCCTGTGTGAAACACAAACCCTTATGTCCATCAGGTGTCCTGGGTGCACCCCATTTCCGCTACAGAAATATCCTCCCTGCTCTCCTCGTATGCAAATCATTCTTCAAGGCTTTGCTCAAGTCCAATGCCCTCAAAAGCCTTCCCCTCCTACAGCCCAGTGGTTTGCTTTTCCAAATTTTCTTTATGTTTATATTCTAATTTACAGCAATTAGCCCTTCACATCTTTCTGCATATTTCTGCAAGTAATGCAGGCTTCTCGAGGGCAGGCACACAAGTGTTCATTCATTCACAGAGAGTTTTAAAAGCGCCTTATAAGTGAGATACAAAGAGAAATATAAACAATGGTTGCTCCCAGTCCTCAAGGAGAGGGGAGTAGTTTACAGACATCTGTCTGGCACACAGTAGCCCTCAACAAAGGTTTGCTATATTGAACTAGCACATATAATGCCTATTGTTGCGATTATTTGTTAAGTCCCCCGAGAGGTATCAAGTGATGGTGTTATAGGGAAAGTTATGAAAAAGGGGGCTTTAAGGACAGGAAATACATATATTTAACAGAATTGGGAGGTTACAGACAGAAGAAACAGCATCCCTATCTAAAGCTGCTAGGTACACACCAGACACCAGGCAGGGGGAAGCAGTGGAGTAGAGTGGAGCTCCGTGTCTGCTTCAGCACCAACCAGCCTGAGGGAGAGGGCAAGTTGCTTAACTTCCCTGGGCCCCAGTTTCCTTCCCATTCTGAAGTGATTAAGCTGCACAGTTTCTGGAAGAATCAGATAGAGTTTCAAATTATGGCTTTGTGTGACCTTCAGGTAATCAGGTGGGGGTGGGGGCTCAGCCTCAGTTTCTTTCCCGCAAAATAATTCCTACCTTACAGGGCTTTTGTGAAGTTTTAAGAACACATGTAAGTCACTAAGCACAGAGCATTACTGTATTTCCTTCTACAAAAGTAAGGGTGGCAACCCTGATCTGCCCCCCTCTCCACGCGGCTACTGATGGTCTCCCGGCACCCAGGCCAGAGTCTGTTCTGAGTAGGGTCTGTGGACAGACTTCTTGATCCCCAAAGAGAAAAGAGTCGAAAGGGCTTTGAGAAAAACTAACAAGCTGTCTGTCCACAGCTGGCTGACTTGGCTAACAGGCACGCTCAAAAAATGCGTTCCCTTGAACTGACTTGCCGCAGTCCAGGAATCTTTGCTAACTCTTACCGAGCACGATGCCGAAGCCAACCGGTTTTCAGACAGCCCTTTGTGCCTCCGCCTTCAAACCCGAGGAAAAGAGACGAGACCCAACCCGGTGGCGGGCTGGGAGGATGAAAGGAGGGGATTCCCCCAATTCCTAGCAGAAAGGAAGCGAGATCTGCTCCCACCCTCTTACTCCCACTCCTGGGGGCAGGCTCCTCGGGCGCCCCCCTTCATTCTTCTCTCCGCACAGGTCGAGAAGGGAGTGGGGGTTCGCACTTGGCCCACCGCCCAGGGCCAGCCCGGGCTGTCGTCCCTCTGGCCCCTCCTGGCCACCCATTCCTGGCCCCCGTCCACGCTGCTCTGCCGCCAGCCCCGGCTCGGGTGGACCCAGCCCTCCGCCCCCTCCGCTCGGCCACCGCGGCTGCCGCCCCCAGCCGCCGTAGAACCCGCCCGGCGCCCTCCCTACCGCGGCCACCTCCGCGCCTCCGTAGACCCCGCCGGGCCGCCCCCCGCCTCCAGCCCGGCCCCCGCAGGCCCCGCTCGGCCGCCCCCTCCCGTCGGCCGCCGCTGGCCCTCCCTCTTTGGGGTCGTGGCGGCAGGGAGGAGGGGCCGCCCGGCGGCCCGGCGTGCGTGGCAGGCGCTCCCAGCTCGGCGCGCTCGGCCTCCCTTCCCGGGAGGCGGGGTCGGCGCCGCGGCGGCGGAGGCAGGCCCCCTCCTCCTTCCTCCTCGGCCCGGCCTCCCTCCTCGGCCGCCCGCTCTCTCGGCCGCTCCGACGCCAGCAGCGCCCTCGTGCCGCTCGCCCAGCCCCGGGGGAGCCCCAGCAAGTTTCCCGGGCCGCGCGCCCCGCTCGCTCGCCTCCCAGCCCGCAGCCCCGGCTGCCGCCGCGCCCGCCATGCCCTCGGCCAAACAAAGGGGCTCCAAGGGCGGCCACGGCGCCGCGAGCCCCTCGGAGAAGGGCGCCCACCCGTCGGGCGGCGCGGATGACGTGGCGAAGAAGCCGCCGCCGGCGCCGCAGCAGCCACCGCCGCCCGCGCCGCACCCGCCGCAGCACCCGCAGCAGCACCCGCAGAACCAGGCGCACGGCAAGGGCGGCCACCGCGGCGGCGGCAGGTCCTCCGCTGCCGCCGCCGCCGCCGCCGCCTCGTCCTCGGCGTCCTGCTCGCGCAGGCTCGGCCGCGCGCTCAACTTTCTCTTCTACCTCGCCCTGGTGGCGGCGGCCGCCTTCTCGGGCTGGTGTGTTCACCACGTCCTGGAGGAGGTTCAGCAGGTCCGGCGTAGCCACCAGGACTTCTCCCGGCAGAGGGAGGAACTGGGCCAGGGCTTGCAGGGCGTCGAGCAGAAGGTGGGTACATCGCCCCCCCCAACACTATCCGCACCGGCTGCGGCCCCCGGACCCACGGCTGGGCTCCCTCGTGCCCTCCCGGCTGGCCCCTAGCCCTGCCTGGCCAGGCCCGGTGGCCGGAGCCGGCCGCCCCTCCTTGGCTGGCCCCGGCCCGAATACCCCCTTTCCCCACCTGGTCCCCTAGTTCCGAGGCAGTCCCCAGACCCTCTTTGTTAATGGCCGCGGAGGAATCGGCCCCCAGGGATGGACCACTGTGAGGATGGCAAGGCCAGCCTGGGAGGGTGGGCCAAGGCCCTGTCGCAGGACATTAGCGGTGACCTGTAAGGAAGCCGGCAGGCTCTGGGGGAGCCCATTCTTTTTGGATTAGGAACCGCTGAATGGGCAGAGTTGTCTGAAAAGGAGGTTGGAAGGGAAGCCAGCGCATCTCTGGAAGCCTCAGGCAAGGCCGCACCTTAGCTCTGCCAGTGGGAGACATCTGAGCCAGTTTTTAATAGACCGGGAGCTTGGAGAAGGAAAAGCTGATATTCTTACTCATTTGCTAAGTCCAAATGAAATAGTATCTATCTTTAGGCCCCTTGTTTAGCATTGGACCAGCGTGCCCATGTGGGCCTTTGAAGTAGTCTTACTTGAGCTTTAGGGGAAGGGAAAGGCCAAAAATACTAGGTCATTCTGGTGAAGAAGATTCCTAGACACATTTATATGGTGTTTAGAGTGCTTACTCACATATTATCTCATACTTATAGCAGCCCTTGTGGGGAGGAAGGACTAACGTTTTTGACTCCATTTTGCAGACCAGAAAATTGAGGTTTATGGAGATTAAGTGAATTGAAAAAGTCCCCAGCTGGTGAGTGGCAGATGTGTGAGAATGTCTAGGCCTCTGCCATGTTAAGGGTCCGCAGGGCCTATTTCAGGTATGGATGGACCTAGCTCTTAAGGCAAAGTGTCTTAGCTTCTGCCCATCTGTTGTTTTTCCAGACCAAGTGCAGTCCCTTCGATCTCATTCCCCTTCCTCCAGCCTCCACTAATGTCATTGCTCACTGAAAGTTGGTTGCAAGACTGAAACAAAAAATCCCGCCACTTCTGACCCTGGAGCTGCTGCCTCCTTTTCCCAGCATGCTGCCTGTCCTGCCAAGTTTCTCTCTACTTTTGTTGAGAGTGCAAGACTAGGAATTTCCTCTTAAGACTGGCATAGCAACTGGAATGAGTCAGCCTGCTAAATGCTGCAGGCCAAGGGAGGTGACTTTTCTAAGGGAATTAAGTAGGCAGTGCTGCTCTGCCTCTCCTGAATGTCAGATCATTCTTAAAAAAGAGACATACTGCTGGAGTAGAATCACTAGCCTCTCTGTCTCCTCTCTTTCATCCACCTACTTGCTAATCAATCATAATATTTATTGAAGTCTGATAGTCATATGCTCTGTGTAGGCCCTGTGGAGGGCGTAAAGAAGCAAAAGACATTATATTTGTGAAGCACATAAGAAGATACCAGTTAAGGGTAACACTCGTGCAAGTTCAGAAGAGAGAGGGTGTAGAATTTCCCTAGGCCTGTATCCCAGTGGCCAAGGTGGTGTCAGCCATCTAGTTGGTGATAGATAAATGTTCGAAGGAATGTGAAGAACACACGGGCAGGGGGACTATCTTGAGCCTGTTTTAGGGACAGGAGGTGGCTACTCTGTCTATGGCAGAGTAACATTTAGGAAATCGTGAGAGAGGGGAGGTTGAAAGTTGGCAACCTAACTTTGAACCCCTTATAACTGTGAGACTTGGTGGGGCTGGGGGTTTGTTCTTAGCAGGGAAATGTACTTACAGTATTATTATTGATAATTAGTATTCACTGTGGGCCAAGCATGCTATTAAATGCTTTATAGCCACGATTTCAGTTCTCGCTAGCCACCCTCTGGGGGCAAGTACCACTTAATTAGCACCATTTCGTAGATGGGGCAGCTGAGGACTGGTTGTGTTACTTGTCCAAGGTCACACACAGACCATAAGTGATGTAACTGGGATTGGAGTTAGGTACCCACCAGGTCTCTCGTTTTCTAGTATTGGAAAATGGCTCAGATCTTCTGGATGGCTGTAGCACAGGCAGAGAGGCTGGCCTGTTCTTACCTAGAAGATTCAGTAGGCACAAGTGGGTCCAGGGCTTTAGAAAATATTGATAGTTAAGTTCTAGGCCCTCTTAAGAGCCCGTGTTGCTCTGGGAGATCCAAGGTGGCATAGAGTGATTGTAAAAGTAGGCTCAGGCCTGGCAGGGACCGTTTAATGAGGCTAGCAGCTATTTGTGGAAGAGGGAATTTTCTGGTCATCTTTGTTTTGTCTCAATTCTCTGGACAGGGAGTCAGGGCTACAGGTGCTGGCAGGCTCCCTTCCAGGCATTCAGTGCTCTGCCTGAGCATATCACACAGTGGCTAAGAGCTCGGGTTCTGAAATCAAACAATCTGGGATTTTGATGTACCATTTACCAATTTCCTCATTTGTAAAATGGAGATCAATGGAAGCCACCAACTCAGGAGATTATGATGAGGATGTAGTGAGATAATGTCTCTGAAGTCCTTTGCATAGTTATTGGTACACAGTAAGTGCCTGTGAAATGTCAACCATCAACCACTGCTAACAGCCAGACCCCACCCCCCCCAACCCCGACCACCACATGCACACTAAGCTGTGGGCTGCTTTAGGGCAGGGTTCCTGCCTTGACCAGTGTTTCATCTCTGACATCTTGCCCAGTTGCCTGCCTGGGTATTCCCCACATATGTTGGGGGAACAGATAATTCCAATGCATATTGATTATAATGAGTTCTTTGGACATAAAGATGAACAACTCACAACACCCTTTATAGGTGAATACTGTTGGGGCTTGGTTGGTTTGGTTTTATCTGTAATTTCTGGTCTAGTCTAGTCATTCTGGTCTAATCATTTGTAAAGAGCCAGCCCAGGTTAGGGGTGACAGTCAGGGATCAGAGAGGAAATGGACCAGTTCATTGGGCTTTGCACTGAATTCATTCATTCTGTGATTCATTCAGAAAACACTGGCTGAACACCTACCGTGTTGCAGGTACTGCACTCTCCCGCTCACACCTCTGCTCTGGGTGCTGTGCTTAGAACAGGCGGGTACTGTGCTTTCATGACCTAGTTTCAGAGATGGGTTCTCTCTAGTACCTTGGTAAAGGGCTCTTTATGACTCAGGTTGTATTTGGTTGGGCAGGGAAATGGTCTAGTATTTTGGAGTCCCTGAGAACCTTACTCTCATCTGTCTGAAAGTCATAGACTGATGGAGCTAGATGGGACTTTAGAGACCTGTTTGTTAATAGAGGAGGAACCTGGGATGTAGAAAGGGAAGTGTCGATGCTCAGAGCTGGTTGCTGGTGGTGCTGGAACTAGATAGATCCTAGGTGTGCTCCTCACATTCCTGTTATGGTTTCAGTCTGTTCTGCCCTTTGGCATTGGGCTGAAGACAGTGCTAGGAATCTGCAGACTTCTCAGATAGCTGCTGTTTATTGAGCAATCACTATGTGCTAGGCATGGCTTACGCACTTTACACACATTAAACCACTTAATTTTCACAAAGACAGTCCTACACGTCAGGTACTGTTTTTGTTCCCATCCTGCAGCTGAGGAAACCAAGGCGCAGATAGGCTGAATAACTTCTCCGAAGATCACACAGCTGGGAAGTGTCAAAGCTAGGACTTGAACCTAAGCAGTTTGGCTGTAGAGCCCACACTATTTTATTTTTTAACCTCTTCTCATGGTAATGTTCAAGCATAAACAAAAGAAGACAACAGTATAATGAACCCCAGTTTCAGTAATTATCGAGTTTTTACCATTCTTGTTTCATTCCGTCACCACCCTTGCCCTCTCTCATTTTTTTGGCTGGATTTAGAACAGTCTGAATCTGAACAGTCTGCTCTTCTGCCCTATTGGGTACCCACCTGGTGTCTCTTACTCTCCAGATGCTCTTGGTATTGGAAAACGGCCCAGGTCTTCTGAATGGCCATAGCACAGGCAGAGAGGCTGGCCTGTCCTGAATCCAGAAGATTCATCAGGCACAAGTAGGTCCAGGGCTTCAGAAGATATTGGCAGTTGAGTTCTAGGCCCTCTGAAAAGCCTGTGCTGCCTTGGTAGACCCAGGGGATAGTGAACTAGGAACTAATTTTAAAATGAATCCCCTGACTGACATATTAGTTCATCCAAAGTATTGAAGGATTTATTTCTAACTAATAAGGGTTCCTTTTCCCTCCCTTCCCTCTCTACTACTTTCCTTGTTTCTTTCAACAAAATACAACATATCACACCTAACAGAGTTTATAGTAATTGTTGAATGTCATCTAATACCCAGTCTAGAATCGGATTGCTCTGATTCTCCCTAAAATGTCTTTTTAAAATTTATTTATTTATTGTTGCCCAGGCTGGACTTGGCTCAAGGGATCCTCCCACCTTGGACTACCAGTGTGTGCCATCATGCCTAGCTCAAAAATGTCTTTTTAACAGTTGGTTTGTTTGAATCAGGACCCGTATAAGAGCCACACATTGTATTTGATTGAAAAGTCTCTTAAATTTCTTTTAATCTATGATAGTTTCCTGTCATTCCCCCTTTTAAAATGCCACTTCATTGTTATAGATCCTGGTCATTCATCCTGTACGATTTTCTGGATTTGGCTGGTCACATCCTCATGGCATGTCTCTCTCTTTTGCATGTTTTCTCTAAATTAGTGGTTAGACCTAGGGACTTGATAGGGTTCTTTTTTTCTGTTCTTTCTTTTTTTTTCCTTTGCAACAAAGCATTATAGGTGGCACCATATACCACATCAGGATAAAGTCCAAGTTATTAATCATCACACTGTACAGCCTCAAAGTAGCTCCCTAGGTAGTTCTCAGGTCAGAGCTTGTTTAGGGTAGAATTTGTTTAAAATGAGTTTGTAGTGGGACACAAGATCGTAATGTGTCACAAAGCCAGAGAATGCCAAGGGATCCTCTGGCCCACTGCTCACACTTTGCAGGTGAGGACACTGAGGTCCAGGGAGGACAGTGACTTGTTTAGGGTCACACAGGTAGAAGTGGCGAGCAGAGACCCGGACATTTACCTCTTGACTCCCACAGTGTCTCCCATGGGCCTCAGCTTTTTTCCTTTGAAAACTTGTGAGTCTCTTTCAATTGTAGGAGCTGGAAGCTCACCCCACAGTGGCTTGAGACAGGGAGGGTTGTGTGGCCCAAACTAAAAAGTCCAAGAGTAGATTCCTTCAGGGATAGCTGTATCTAGGGATTTGGATTATGCCTTTGGAACTTGATCTGGCCATGTCTCAGTTCTGCTTCCCTCTGTGCTGGCTTGATTCTCAGACCAGCATTCCTTGTGCTGGCCTGAGCAGCTCTAGGCTTACCTCATCCTATAGCTAGCAATCCCAGTGGAAAAAGATGTGTTCTGTCCCAGTAGTTTTAACAGAAGTCCTAGAATTGCCTCGTTGACCTTCCTTAGGCCACATGCCCATCCCTGGGCTAATCACTGTGGCTTCAGGTGGGGGACATGTGTGGGTAGAAAGTGCTGATTAGACAGGCCTGGGTTACAGACCATCCCTAGGGCATTTGGAGGGGGCCCAAGGGTTGGTCCCCAAAACCACATGGCCTGTGTGTGGAAGGATGTTTCTCCAAGGGAAAATTGTGGTGCCATTCTGGAAGAGAAGGAAGCTGGAGGCTGGACAGACCAAAAAAAAAAAAAGTTGTATAGAACTCATCAGCTGTTCCCAGCAATTAACACGTGGGTTTTGGTTACAGGTTCAGTCTCTGCAAGCCACATTTGGGACTTTTGAGTCCATCTTGAGAAGCTCCCAACATAAACAAGACCTCACAGAGAAAGCTGTGAAGCAAGGGGAGAGTGAGGTCAACCGGATCAGTGAAGTTCTGCAAAAACTCCAGAATGAGATTCTCAAAGACCTCTCGGATGGGATCCACGTGGTGAAGGACGCCCGAGAGCGGGACTTCACGTCCCTCGAGAACACGGTGGAGGAAAGGCTGACGGAGCTCACCAAGTCCATCAACGACAACATCGCCATCTTCACTGATGTCCAGAAGAGGAGCCAGAAGGAAATAAACGACGTGAAGGCCAAGGTCGCCTCTCTGGAAGCATCTGAGGGGTACAAGCAGGATTTGAAAGCCTTGAAGGAAGCTGTGAAGGAAATACAAACCTCTGCGAAGTCCAGAGAGCGGGACATGGAGGGCCTGAGGAGCGCCCTCCGGACCATGGAGTCCGACGTCTACACGGAGGTCCGGGAGCTGGTGAGCCTCAAGCAGGAGCAGCAGGCGTTCAAGGAGGCGGCCGACACGGAGCGTCTCGCCCTGCAGGCCCTCACGGAGAAGCTTCTCCAGTCGGAGGAGTCCGCCTCCCGCCTCCCGGAGGACATCAGGAGACTGGAGGAAGAGCTGAGCCAACTGAAGGCCGATTCCCACCGGCCGGAGGAAGACGGAGTCTTCAAACACTCCGACGCCCTGGAAGTGCTTCAGAAAACCAGTCAGGGGTTGGACTCCAGGCTCCGGCACGTAGAGGATGGAGTCCATTCTGTGCAGGAGGCTTCCGAGCGCCAGACCGAGAGCCTGGAATCCCTCTTGTCCAAGAGCCAGGAGCACGAGCAGCGCCTGGCCGCCCTGCAGGGGCGCCTGGAAGGCCTGGCGTCCTCCTCGGAGGCGGACAAGGATGGCCTGGCCAGCACGGTGAGGAGCCTGGGCGAGGCCCAGCTCGCGCTCTACGGCGACGTGGAGGAGCTGAAGAGGAGCGTGGGCGAGCTCCCCAGCACCGTGGAGTCGCTGCAGAAGGTGCAGGAGCAGGTGCACACGCTGCTCGGTCAGGACCAAGCCCAGGCCTCCCGTCTGCCTCCTCAGGACTTCCTGGACAGACTCTCCTCCCTGGACAACCTGAAATCCTCAGTAAGCCAAGTGGAGTCGGACTTGAAAATGCTCAGGACTGCCGTGGACAGTTTGGTCGCGTACTCGGTCAAAATAGAAACCAACGAGAACAACCTGGAATCCGCCAAGGGTTTGCTAGATGACCTGAGAAATGATCTGGATAGGTTGTTCGTGAAAGTGGAGAAGATTCACGAAAAGGTCTAAAGGAATGGTGTGTGCAGGGTGCGGATTTCAAGTCCAATTTCTCATGACCAAAAAAATGTGTTGTTTCCTCCCACGTGTCCCCCCCCACCCCAATTTCTTGTCCCCTCTTAAAGACCAGTAGATACCACCCGAACACCAAGGCATTGTATTTTTGTGCCCAATTAATTTATTTACAATTGTTACCACACACCGTTGGTTTCTTCAGTTCTCTGCTTCTGCTTTTGGTTGGTTTCCTGAAGGCCCAGTCCCTGTGATTAAGAGGTGTCTTTTCGAAGGGATGTCTCTCGTGTCAGAGAAAAACAGTAGTGGCTTCAGCTGAGGATTAACAGAAGCAGATTAACCTCAAAAATCCTGTCTGGCTGGCAGATTTCAAGTTAGAAAAAAGCGGGGGACACTTTTCTAATTGTTTTTAAGGAAAATTAATTTTACTTTTTTTTTTTTTATACGTGTGGCCGAAGTTTTTATGAAAGAGCTCTCACTTGTTGTCTTCCACTTTAAACTGGTTAAAACTCATAGATGTCAGCTCTAAGGCAGGAAGGGGAAGAGCCCCTCAGCCTTTATTTTAAAAGAATGGGCTACTTGAGGGTCCTCTCCATGGTGTGAGTGTCTTTTCCATTGCTGAATCGTCTAGTGATATCAAAGGTAACTATGCAAAGAATCCAGACGGTTCTGAATGTGAAAGCACAACACCCAGCAGAGTCCTGCTGTCCTTCTTCTGTCCCTGGTGGCCGGCCTGTGTCAGCTCTGCTCTCTGGAGGGTCACCAAATAATGCATAGGTTTAGAGGTTTAGAATCCCAGACAGGGGAGTTCTTGGGTTCCTTTAAGAAAGGTATTAATATTATGAGACAGTCCATACACAGGACAGGAATGGGATGTCTCCCTGGAGAATGTAGGCCAGATCTTTTTACTTTAACATGGTGTCCATGAAGAGGTTTGCTGTCAGAGCAGACCGCATCTGTCGGTGAGGAGCGTGTGCACTGCATTTCCATAACTGTTTGCTGTATCTCCCTTCCCCTTTGAGCTGTATTGTTCTTTAATGGCTGTCTTGCCCTTCAAAAAAAAAAAAAACAAAAAAAGAAAAAAACCCAAAAAGCTGATCTCAAAAAAAAAAAAAGAAAAATTAAGAGTCCCCACTTTTAAAGGCCTGAAAAGAAACATTTGCCATCTATTCTGAGGGCTATTACTCACAAGGCTTCATTTGCATAACGAGACCACTTTTCGTTAACTGTTCAAGCCTTTTCCTCTCTCTCTCTCTTTCTCTTTTTCTCTCTCTCTCTCTCCCTAAAACTGTTTTTCTGCTTTTCAAGCCAAAAAGGACCTTTAATTTCCTGTCTTCTTCCATCTATGAAAGACACATGAGGCTTTTTGCATATAAAGGGCTTAGACATGTGAAAATATGTATTTTTTTTTTTTTTACTTGTTCCATTCTCAATGACAAACTTATATTTTTAGTTTTGCGCCTCTAGATTCTGGTGTCCGG